CTGCAGGATCGAGAAGCAGGAGGGTGCTGTTGCTGCTAAGGGGAGCGTGGGGTGGGTGAGCTGCGCTGCTTGGGTCGGCCAAGGCCGAGCAGGGAGTTTCAGGGTGTAGCTAATTGTCACATGCGTCTTGAGCATGGCGCCACCGTATAAATGTCTGGTGTCCTGGCTGGCTTCGTACAGCCTCGGTGAGGTAGCATGAAGGTTACGGTAAGTGGTGTATAGGCATATAACGTAGAGGTTACAGTAAGTGTAGTGAGGTTATGGTACGCATGGTAAGGTCACACCTCCAGTCAGGAAAAGATAACCCTTAGAGGACATCCTTTCTGTGTTTACCAGGCTCTGGTTACTTGTTACTAGTAATGGTAAGAGTTTCACTGCTTATAATTTATAAGTACTCCAATGTAAAGCTATGAGTAAAACCCACTCTTTTCACTTGGAGTTTAGTAATTTGCAGAACTCCTTTCAGGCTTTGGTAAGTTTTCATACTTCCCTGGCTGTTTGTACAGCTTTTTGCTGTACAGACAGTGCATGCCTATTTTTAATATCCAAAGGTACAAATTGTTACTGTTTCTTTTTTTACAGGAAGATTGACAACCACTAACCCTTCTGAACAGAAAGTATTTCCAAATCTTCCCCAGGGCAAGAGCATTTATTCACTTATGCCAACTGGAAGCTGTGTTTCAGTGATATTCAGTGATGCTGATGACATAGCATTGCCCAACAGACCTTATCTTTTAGGTTCTGACTTCTCTGCATTGTAGATTTTCCAAGTTTAGTCGCCATCGAAGAAGATCGTTTGCATATGGATATATTGCAGAATCAGGGTAGCTAAAAAAAAGAATGTGAGAAACTGAATTAAGCCCTTAATCATAATAGCTTTAAAACTATATTTTGTGTTCTTTTCTCTTGGCTCATGCAATTTGCATCACGACTTTAAACCTTTCCTGCTCAGTAGAAGAACTAGCAAGTCAACTGAGATTCCTTTGGATATTTGTGGATCTTTTGCTTGAAGTTCATGACGTTGTTTATATCGGAGCTGTGCACTAACGCTTGTGGGACCGTGTCTTTTTTCTTTCCCAACAAAAGCTATTCTGTTTTCCTGTATTCCTGAGTTCCAAAAATAGGGCTTAATGAAGACAACATGCACTCCTAAATACCCACTCCTAATTGCACTGCAATTGGTTGTTACTGTACACAGGACAGTGGCACTTCAGAATTTGGCCTGTACTTTTCTGCACTTTCTTGCGATTAATTCTGAGATGTGTTGTAGGTAGGACTAATCTTCAAGAGCATGGAATCCAGGGTAAGTTTAGAGATGAAGACTACGAAATAGCAAATTTCCTATACTATTCTGGAGAACCAGCCTTCTAGGACTGGGGACCTGGTTAGAAAAATGGAGTCTTTTTTGAATCTCTTCAGAATTTCTGGGTCTCCACAGCTGCTCAGTTTCTGTTTCTTGTTTGGACCCCTCTTTGAATTAAGAGATTCTCATGTTTGAAACCCAACCCTGTTCAGTCTTCCCATCTAGAATTTCAGGTCTGTAAATGCTGTAGCTACCTGTACATAATCTTCCACATACCAGCTGAAACTGACTTCTAGGGTTCTTCTCTTATAGCATGGGAAGAAGAAAAGAAGCCCTTTGTTTTTGTTTTGGGTTTTTTTTTTTTGGAGGGGGGGGTGGGGGAGTTAAAGGAATGTGTTTATCTGCAACTGGTATATTAAGGCCCAAGGGAATTATTGTGCAAAAATCTTGGTGGTCATAAGAGGTATATTAATCTAACCCAAGTCTGACTGCATGCAGAGGTTATGTTAGTACTCCGTCCTAGACAGAGCCCTCCTGCCATCAGTCCAGACAGTGGCTTCGCCTTCCCATCTTGGGTTGATGTTGCCTCTAAGTTTGGAGTTCAGGGTGATACAGTCCCTTTTTGCCCACTGGGCTCCTTTGTACTCCTGCATAGTGCTTGTAGAGCAGGCTAAGGGGGTAAACCAAGTTTCTGTCTCTCAGTGCTTATAACCAAAGGTTGTCAAGCATCTTTCTTAATATGGGCTTAGTCTTAGCCTTAGGTAGGACTCAAGAGTCTGCCAACTGACCATACTGTTTATTCATGCATCACTGGTTAACATGTGGCATAGATTTAGCTGATTTTAGTTTACCAGCATTTGGAAATGCCTCAGAAAAAAATGATCAGGTAGATTGTGGCAAGACAGTCAATTTCTGAATCTTTTATGATTACCTGTTCCAGCAGCAATCTTTCACATTTTTCCAGTGGCAATTCCAGGCTTGCTTTCAAGTACTGATGTATTGATACATGCCATGCTAGAAGATCCACTACTGAAACAGGTAGCTGGAACTGAAGAACTTGAGCTAGAAATGTCTGTACTTTTAAAGCCAATGATTATCCAATTAAGATCAGTAACAGGCTGGTCTCAAGTTAGAAGAGAATTATTTTTCTTCATTTTGAATCACAGGAAAGATTAAACTTGGCCCACTACCTTATCTTAGAAAGTGGCTGAAGATAACATGAATTGACCCAAATTACTTAAGTACAGGCTGCAGAAGAAAAGGTGAAGTTAAGCAGATAGCTTCTATGAAAGGATTTCAAGTGCATGAATGTTACTGTTAAGTCAGTCTACATGGAATACTGGCAGAGATTTGTCTGTAGGAATGAGTAGAAAGTTCTATGACTATCAAACAACACAACAAACCTTCAGTAGGTAAAAATGAAGGGTTTTTTTTTTTTTGTCGTGTGAGATTTCTGGGCAATACTTACCTACCTACCAAAAATTAACACTCTGAAGAAATGTGTTATGTAATTACATCATCTTTTGTGCCTTTATAATCCTTGTTAGAGGTATGGATGAGATGCTAATGCGTAAAAAATTTGCAGTCTAGATAAAAATTCATACCTGAGCATGTTGTTTGCTCATTAATTTGTACAGATAGACCTAAGTACTCTGTATGGTGTAAACTGAGAAGCAAGGCCATGAGTCTCCATTAACTGCACTAAAGTAATGGGTTTATACATCCCTTTTTTAATGTATGAGCTATGTGTATATGTTTGACTTCACTGTTACGATCAAAACCAGTCACTTGCATTCAGTAGTAATATGTGAAATCTGGAAAATTAGCATCTTTCCTTCATAAATCCTTCTGCCCAGCATATTTTATTATATCCTTGCATTATATCTCACATACAACTTTTGTAGAAAAGTGTGATTCTCAGTGACTTGGGGATACTGAATTTTTGTACTTGAAATAGATTATACTTTGAGGAAAAGAAGGACACTCTTTAAATTCAGTAAAAATGCAACTTTGAAACTCTATGCCAGGAGGTGTTTTCATATACTGCTTAGACTCTTGTAAGCATCATTTTTATGGCACTCAAAACTATCTATATGTCTAGGATCCTTTTACGAGTTCTGGTTGATATGAAGGTATGTAGCTAGACTCTGTCTTTGCTCTGCATTTGACTTTTGGAGGAATCAAGACTTTCTAGTGTGTTGTACAGCAAATAAGTTGCTTAGAATATCTAACGCTGTACAAGGATTGTTTTCCATAGTGTCAAACTTACTGCTGAGTCTTAGGCATTACCTCTGAGGATCTTCACATCATTCAAATATAAATACAAAGTTTAAATCAGTTATTTGGCTGTTTTTCTTCCATCAGTGCAGAGGGATTTATCAAAAAGGATGTCTCTGGGCTGAGTGTTGAGGCAGCAAATCAGTCAACAAGTCTTCCCTTTGTGCTAAATCAAATGTCTCGCCTTACATGTGTCTTCTCCCAGCTGGCAAAGAGGTGATGTGTGTGGAGTTGGTAAAGTTCTGTGTCTCAATAAAAATATTTTAAATTCTTTGTGTATACCATGTGTTTAAATTTTGTGTGTGGCTATTTACACATATATAAAGCATATGCATAAAGATGTGTGTTTATGTGTGTGTATATGTATGTATATATTCTAAACTTGGAGCTGTTGGTTTCTCCTCCAGAGATTACCAATATAAGACATTTTTTTCCTAAACATTGTATGCATTGGTACAACTGCTGACAAGAGTAAAGGCCTAATTCTGTCTAGCATCCTTGTTAATATGAATAGTTATTAATCAATAAAAAAGCAATTAATTTACATATACAAAATACACTAGTTTCTGTAACAAGCACATTGGTTTCTATTCTTTTAATTTTAAGTAAAGTACTAAGGTCACTTTGTTTTGTTGCACATAAATCTTGGATTAATTAGTAACTTACCATCTGTGATGTTCAGAAGTCTGGAACTGTCTCTTGCAAACCTCAGGAAAAAATCTCCTAATTAATGCTTAACTCCAGACACTGGAGTTTTTCATCCAGCTTTCCCCATTTATCGAGTTATCTTGCATCTATTTTCAGATGCTGAGCAGATGCTAAGTAGGTTATTCAGTCTGTAAACACAGATAATTATACATTGAGATGTTTTCCTTGCTTTCTAAGTACATAAGCGATTTTTTATACTATGTAATGAATGCTCCTGTTTCTCCCGATATTAGGTTGCTCATCTCTATATCCAGACTGATTGTTACAAATAATGTTTATGTTTTTCCTTGCTGTCTTTACTAAAAACAAAAAAAAATCTTTTAAATATTCACATGAATTGTAGTGTTTAAACAATGTTAAACTAGCAAATTTCAAAATAAAGTAAAAGTAAGTACTCACTGCTAGTTTTTTAAATTCCATTATACGTTTAAGGATTATTCATGTAAGTAGCTGTGTGTGATTTGAGTGTGTCCAACTGCTAAGACAGGGATTGTTTACATAAGTAAAAGTTTATAGAGTATGTCCCAAAATTAGCTGTAGGTGCTGTGGAAGATTGTCTAATGTCATCCTTTACTTCAGCTCTAATCATTTCAGGTAATCAGAATAGGTTTTAAAATCTGATAACTCTTCAGCACTTTGTGGCTTTCTGACCAAGGGAAGTGTGTTTGGAGCTTTGCCATGTCATGTATCTAAAAGATGTACCTCTTGCCCACGTCATGGAAGGCGTCAGAAGTATTCCAACGATTCATTTACTCTGTAACGGACTTGCCAGTAGGTAAATTACGTCTCTTGTAAGGATCGTGTGTTATAAGCTGCGAACACCATTCCATTTCTCCCAAGGTGCAGAACTTAAATCCTTGTTTTTCCAACTTGGAAAATGTAAATATTCATGAAAATATGGCAAGATAGGATTATTTAGGGTATCGAATGAATGTATTATTTTTATTGTCATCTTGGATTTGGCAGGCAGCACTTCAAAGAGATGTTTACAATATTTATATGATGGTAAATTAGGTTCATTAAGTGGTTGTACAAGAGATTTTGGAAGAAAAGGGAGAAATTACAAAGCTAGAGATGTTTGTGTAGTTTTTGAGTGTGATTTTGTGGTTAAAGTGTTTGTATTGGGAGGACTAAGGGAAAAAACACGTTGACAGTGCTGTCTGGTTGGCGCAAGTGGTTGTGATTGCTCAAACAGTGTCCTTTGTAGAGAGTAAAACACTAACAGACATAATCAGAGTACCTCTTCAGAGCTATCTTTGCAATCATAGTGAATTTCTATTCCACAAATTAACTTACTTTCCCTCCCTTTTCCCTCCCTGCCCCCCAACCTTTTTTGTTTGTTTTTAAGTTAGCCTAGATTAGAACTGGTTTAATGCAGTCAAGAGGCTTCTTGTAAAATTTTCCTAAAGGTTAAATGTTTCTTTCTACAGTGTATGGTTTAGGTTGAGGCTTTTATTAACTTTCTAATTGCCAAATCAGGTAGAATTCTAGCATGGGGGATGAACTTTCTAATTTTTTTACCTAAATACTTATTTATAGGTGCTATTCCGTGAAATATATAGATAATTTCTGATCAGTACACCATGTATCTGTAAGTAAATTCTGCTGGTAAACAGTAATGCCTTATAAATAATTTCCTCATGGCAGTTCATTTGAGACACCTTCAGAAGAATTCAAGAGCTTCAGCTGAGCTGAAGAGCCTTACGCTGAAAAAAAGTGTTATGTTTTATTTAAATTATACAAGAAACTTGAAAGTAGAGGGAAAGTTAAGGAATACAACTAATTATCTCATATAAGCATGCTATGAGGTACAGGATGGTCAGTCTGTGATCTCCCTCTCAGAGACTGTAGCTACACATTAGTATAGATGGTACTGTGATGTTCCAAGGGATGGATTCAGTATCCACTGAAGTTCCTGCTCACCTTTCTTTCTATGAAAATGGTGATGAAAATGATACTTGCATAGATACAAGAAATGTGTAACTTTGTTAAAATTACATTTTATTAGTTGGAGCTGATAGTTCTTTTAATGTTTCTGTTGTGAGATCTGGAGTAGTTGAGAAATGAATAAAAAATAATTGATGTTAATAAATTAACAGAAATAAAAGACTGTTAGCTGATGCTTTTATACTGTTGGTGCTTTCATTGTGAAGACATCTAATTTGTGAAACTGCTGAGGATCATATTAGGTTTTGCTGTTTAATGAAATACAGAAACAATTTTAAAGGCTAGCCTGTGCGTATTACCTTTAAGATTTAAACCTAGATTTCAGTTTGTTGTGAAACAAGGTACTGAAAATTTCTGATTCCCTTGGCTCCTTTGATGGCCTCGGTTAAAAGCCTTAATGGTAGCTACTTAGGAAATTGTAATATAAAATCTAAATTCCTTGCAATAACTATCCTTTTACCTTCCAAATTCAGTGCTAGACAACTTAGCATGGGTGATAAAGCAGAGGCAGAATTTAGTTGGTGAATTTAGAGGAAGCCTTTTAGAAAACAGTCTTGCATAGCTTCCTGCTTACCTCTGCAAAGTATCTTCAAGAAATTTTAGTTGTGGGACATAGCAGTTAATTTTCTTCACCACCACTTAATAATGAGAAACAGTAATTAGACTTGGGAATTAGAACTACTGCATCACCAACTTTATTTTTCATGATCCATCTTTAAGATGACTTTTCACAGTATCACCTATAATTCTTCTACACAGATGTTACCTCAGGAAGTAACGCCTCTAATGGACTCTTCCTTAGAGTTAGGCCATTGCCCTTCAACACACAGCTCTTCCTGTGCCTCAGACATACTCGTTTATGTTGCTGCCTTCCAGCCTTAGAAGCCAGGGTGATCATGTCCTAGATAAAGGGTAGGATCTCTGCTTCAGCAAAATAGGTTCTTGTATTTCCACTCTGCAGGAGGAAAATTGCCTAATGGGTAACAGACCCACTACATTGTTATATTCTGCCATTTCAGAGGGGTAGGAGGGACCTTGAAAAAGTTCTTTGGATATGCTGATGATCATACCTGTTTCTACTAGTAAACTAAAACTGTTTATGACTCTGTGTGTGTGTGAACAAAATGGGTCCATACTTTGTGGGAGGGGAGGAGTGGGTAGGCAAAGGAGAATGTTCCTCTGTAAAATTTTACATGTCTAAATTCAAAAATTGAGGATGAATTTGATGCAGTATCAAACTGAATAACCCTAAAGGTAACCTGAGTAAGAAAACTGGGTTTCACATATATTTTACATAGAAACTACAGGCTTCTTCTGTATGTTCCAATTTTCTTTTTCTGACACAAAATTACAACTGTGGTCCATTAACAATTTGACAGGGTTCTACATGCATCATAACAACTCACTCATTTGATCCAGTACAGCAGCCTTAGTGATTAGCTTAAAATATACAATGAAATTACAGCTAATTTAATGAACTAAACCTGAATGTGACCACATATTGAAAACATTTTTTAACTGTGCTTTTCATACAATACCTGATGCTTAGCTGACACCCACATTTATTTTTTCTAGTTACTGAAGAATTACCAGAAGTGGAGAATTGAATGCCCAGAAATAAGTGCAGATTTACGACCATCTTCTGTTCTTGGTCTCTTACTTGCTGGCTATCATGGAGTCCTGAGATCAAGGGATCCACATGGAAGCAAAGTTCTAATATACAGAATTGGTGAGTGACAAAAATTGTTTGAACCTGTTTCCAACCTGGCTTTGGCACTGATGTTTCTGGTTTGTTTCATGGTTTTGGTTTTGTTCTTTTGTTTTTGTTTTTTTTTTTTTAATTATCGCAATTTCAGCAATGAGATACACAATCTTGTAGAATTCCTGTACTGAAGAAAAATTGTATGAATTGATTGAATTGATGATCTGTTGTTTCTGCTAGCATAACTGTTACTGAATGATGCTGTTCCTGTCAAAACCTTGTACTGGAGGCTACAGCCATAGGTAGAACATACTGCATTAGGATTACTACATGTACCAACATCTTGCATTAGGTAGTACCATCTACAAAAAGAGCCTAGAGGATGAATGACAGAGCAGGCATACAAAATAACTTCTGTACTGGCAAATTGTTTAATTTTAGGACCTTTTATATTACTAATTACTTTTTATTCCTGAGAAGTGCATTAAAAGTAGTAGCATGGAAAAGAACAGGTGTATGTGGTATTCTTGTGGTAATGCAGAGTAATCTATCTGCTCTTCAGGACAGTGGGATCCCAAGTTATTTACAGCATACGATGTATTTCGTGTAAGTCTCATCACATCTGAACTCATTGTAAAGGAGACTGAGACTCAGCGGAATGGAGTCAAGGCTATCTTTGATCTTCAAGGGTGGCGATTTGCTCATGCATTTCAGATCAGTCCAGCAGTGGCCAAGAAAATTGCTGCTGTTCTGACAGTAAGTATGACATACCACTTTACACTGCTTCATTGCTGTAACTCCCAATTTTTCATTTGTTTTAAGCTATAGTAAATTTTCCTCCTGTAGACCTTTTTAGAGTCTATGAAGCTTGAAAGAACAAAATCTTAAATCGGTTAAAAGTAGGTTGAGCTTCATTTGACTTAAAGTGCGTTCTTGTATAGCAGTAAGTACCCTTTAACCTCTGATGTTCTGTAAGAACTCCATCGACCTGTTACGTCATAAGAGTTTAATGAGAAGCCCAGTTTTGTAAGGGTCTGTGTTTGTTATCCCATTTTTTACCCTGAGACTCAGAGCATGTGCTGAGTTAAGAGCAAGACAGTACTAACCTGTTACCAATATGGATGATGCTACGTGATCTTCGCCTGCTACCAACAGAATGTATAATTTTTATGTTCTGCTTGCTTTTTGCCCCCCCCCCCCATTCCTCCAAGAATTATTTTGTGCAGCTTACTACTACCTCATCTCTTATTTTTCACAAAACTTGTAGGGACTTTACTGCTTTTAAGACTTGTTCTTTTCTGACAAATTTGTTTGAACTTTGGCAATGGATATGAGAGGAAGTAAAAAGGAATGCAGGAAAAATAAGGAGACAGAGAATTGACAGACAAGCTACAGTGTAGTGCTATTTTCCTTCAGAGTTAGGTTGAAAGTCAGTGATAATAAAACTTTTGGCCCGCAATGTGGAAATGAGCCGGGGAGATAATCTCTTGCTCTGATTTGGTAAGATGCATATCTGAGGTTCAGTCAAAGCTTAGTCATAGAACTAGTATCATTGTAACTCCAGCTGTTCTTCCATTTTGGTACCTTCTGTGAAACTTCTGTGAACCCAGAAGGTCTTCCCAACTTCCCACATCTAGAGTAATAACTCTTGATGTTCATATGGTCCTGAGCCAGATCTCATGAGAACTGGACTAGGAAGAGTGTCTCAGTTGATTTCTGAGGTAGTAAAAAAAATTCCTAGTAATTTTTTAACCTTGGAATAGAGCAGAAAGGAGGTAGAACAGGATTTGCATTTACAGCTAAAGGTTTCAATACATTACCTCAAACCAGGAAATTTTTTGAGTATCGTGTTTCTATCATGACCTATTTCAGATCTGTTGCATGGTTTTCAAGCTTCTAAATTTTTATTGTAGGTATTGAAAAAACAGATGGAAAGCATTTGTGTGTTTCCAGTGTTCTTTTCTAAGAAGAGAAACAAGTTTAACTCACTTGTTTTCAGGTTTCTTTCATCACTTTAACTGGGTTCATATATTTCACCCAGAGATTGTTGTAGTGTTGTTCAATATACTTTATAAGTAAGAATTAAGGAATCTTAGTTTCAACCCTATTTTTTACTTTACAAACATGTCTTGCAAGTTACTGCCCTGTAGGAAGAAACAGAAGTTAATAGAAAAGAAATACATACTAAGAAAAGGGAAGCATAATCAGATTAGTAAGTGACATCATCTTGAAAAATCTGTTACCCCAGGCAAAACCAAATGGTTTTGTGAAAAACGTAACAGTAGACTTTAAGTATATGATAGCACATAATAGCATGCAGTAAACCTATAATCTGATAATTTTAAGGTCTTTGTCATACATTAAAATTTAAAAGGAGTTGCACTTAAGAAAGATGGGGTTTTGTTTTGAGTTTGTTTTTTTTTTTTTTTTATCCATAGAAGAGTGCCTGAAATAATGTGAGAAGAGTTACTATACTAATGGGGAGAAATGTTAGTGAGGAGTACCATTTTTATAAGCAGAAAACCTCTGGTTGCAGAGGTAGTATCAGGTGGGGTATGAATGGAAGATACACTTTCCCCATTGCATAATGGTGTCTTTCAGTATTTTTAACTTTCAAAGGTCTGGGACTTCTAAATAAATTGTGAATCAAGTAGAAGTATTCATATTATAAAGGCTGTATAGCAGACCATTTTTATTTTCATTATTACAGTAATCTTGTTGTAAAACTGAACTTCTGGCTTGCTCGAATTCCCAGTAATTTCAAGGCTTGTCTCTAAATTATAATTTATTTATAATTAATAACTAGCCTTTACAATAAAT